CCAATGGGCAACCAGTCCGGCCACATGGTCGACAGTGTGCACTGACACTCCCTCTGGCTGCGTCACAGAAGAGTTTACAAGAGAAGCTCTATAGTCATCAATCGGGCGCACTTTGTTCTTTTGTTTCACTGGGAATCTGTTCGTCAAAGTGGCTCCAGATGGCACGCAGGTCAAGTCACCCTTTGGCTACCTCCTTTCTGGTGACTTCGTGAAGTGCAGCATCAAGATCTGGGTCTCCAGACGACTTGCAACTGAGGACCATGGCTTCTCGAGCTAGGTCGGCAGATTTTCTCAGAGTCTCGCAGGGCAACGAAGCTGGCCTGAATTTTTCTTCAATGAAATTCGACCTAGGCAGCTTTCCTGTCAGGTCGAAACCATGGCGAATGCATTCTGCTAGCGTGGTGTCGGAGTGTCCTGCCTCACGGATCAACTGGTCAAAAAAGATGCAGCCTCTTCTTCTCCAAGACTTGTCTTCTACGCGTTGACAGGGAGTCTTTATTAGTTGCTTCGGCTTGGCTGAAATCATTGGCTAAGCTCAACCATCTTTTCACAACTTCTGCGCGGTGCTTGGCCACCTCATAGTCAGTCCTCGAGGCACAAAAATTGTTGGCTTCAATCATCTCTACCGGAAAATTCGAAGCTAGCAAAGCTGGGTGGCCCACTCCAATCGCTTCTGCTACGAATTCCTCTGGCGCCCAATGAATACTTTCCTCATTTCTTCACTCGCGAAATGCCCCGGTCTGGGAGTAAAGCTTCCTGGAAAGTGGAGGGAGCGGGGCGTCAGCAGGGTGACGCAGGATGGCTGCGAACTCAGGCACCAGAGGTGGCAGGGGCTTGCGGGATTGTGTGCCAGTGGCTGCTCTCAAAGTTTGCAAACTGGCTTCTTGCTGTGCGAAACACAAAGGCGGGAAAATCAAACCTTGTTGCTGCAGCCAGTCACTTAACGCAAAGGCCAGCGACCGACACAAGGCCCAAGGATAGGCGGTCTCGTGGGAAGTTGCCCATCCATTGGGGGCCATGGCGCATTGGCCCCACGGCTCATGGTCGTGATCACCTTGGCAAAATGCTTGTAAGGCGGAAAAACTGGGGACCATGTGGACCAAGGAGGTGAGTTTGCGTCTTGCACTGCCATAACAACAGTGGTGAAACTGAGTTGTTGCGACGGGGATCTGCTGCAAGAATTCTTGAAAGCATGTCGTTTGCCACATGAACGAACGGCCCGGGTTTTCAATGGAGAAAAGAATGTGGTTGCGGTAGCAAAAGGTGGCAAGCTGACAGGTGACACGATACAAAAGATTGGCTTGGCGAACTCGGTCTGCGTCAATACCCGTGAGGGTAGGCAGGCCGTCGGGGTGCTGATCGGTGCGTAGCACCGGCGGGTTGAACCTGCCTTTCCGTTGGATCAAGCGGGCCCGCGAGGCGGTACCGCAGGGTGGCGCAAAATGGCAGAAGATGCAAAAAGGATCGGACATCAAGGTTTCCAAATGCTTCACTTGGATTGGATCGGTCAAATCTAGTCTAATTAAGGGACTTGTCAAGCGGGCTGGAGTCTGGCAGTCAACTCCAAAGCTTTCATTCATCCCAAACTGGCGAAGAACTGCGGTGAGTCTCCCTGTGCCTGCAAAAACTTCGATGCAGAAAAATTGCTGCACATGTTTGCCGCGAAGCTTTGCAAGCACGCCGGTCAAAAAATCTCACTTGTGCTGCAAGAGACTATGCGCTTTGCCGCATCCGGGCTCAGCACAGACGCGCAGGCCTCGGGAGCAAGCGTTGCCAACTGCGGCATCTTTACAACCGGAAGACATGTTGAAGGGCCAACAAATTCTGTCTCCATCGCTGGTTTCCAAAGCCTTGCCGATGAGGTCTTTGGGAACGTTGGGCCCCCTTCCTTTGTCACGTTTTCCTTTCCCTTTTCCTTTGCCCTTGCCTTTCACCTTCAAAAACTTGTTGGGGCTCTCTTGCGTGGCAAGGCTGGTCTGGGAACGCTTCAGCCACTTGCTGTCCTTTGGAGGACGATCGGGCTGCTTGGCCAGTGGAAGCAAATGGAAGCTCACACTGGGATGCGACAGAACTGTGGGCAAGGCTTCTTCAAGCGGCTTAGTCCCGTCAGGCTTCGGCTTCAGGGTGGTCAGGCGCTCGGCCAACAGCAAAAACGCTGCGCGATCGGCCCTCAGCACCTGTTGTACTGTGACTTCGTTGTACCCCGGCGGGGCTGACTCTTGGAGGTGTTGGACCAGCTCGGACTGGTACTGGTTCATGACATTGTATTCACATGCGCCCACCAGGTCAAAGGCCAGAGCACGGCAGCGAAAAGCCTGGACAATCTCAAGCTCTGTCTTGGTTGGGCAGATCATGTCGGACTTTTTTCTTTCAAAGTCAGAGACCCGTTGTCCAACGACAGCTCTTTGGATGGTTTTTTCTGTTGAAGTTCGAAGCGACGGGTCTGAAACTTTTCTGGCCCGACATACAGGAGCGCATCCTTTTCAAGCATCTGCAACACAAGGTCATACGATGCGTGGGCGTTTTCTTCCGCCCCTTTGAAAAGGAGGCCGCCCAACCTTTTTCTCTGAGCTGTAATTCGGGTGTCGCGCTCGGCAACTGCCATGGTCGTCGGGAGTATTTCTTCTTTCTTCTGGATCTTGTTCTTGAGCTCCCCAACGACCATGGTTTGCGCTTCAAAAATGAGTCGTTTGGTTGAAGCGATGGTTCCGATGTTTGGAG